GTATATATGTATATATATATATATATGTATATGTAATATATATACATGTAATATATATATATGTATATAAATGTATATATATGTATATATACTATATATATGCTACATATATATGCTATATATGTATATATAGGTCTATATATATATATATGTCTATATATGTATATATTTATATGTCTATATATGTATATATTTATATGTATATATACACCTATAGTGATTTAAATGGAAAAATCCAGACACAGCAAGCGGAATATGCAATGAATTATATAAATTGAAATATATCCTTGTCTTGTGATGATGGTACATTATTTTAATGTATTGTTATATGTCAGTTTTCTGATTGATTCTGTTTTTCTAATTGATTCTGTTTTCTGATATTTTTAGAGCATTACTGTTTTTAGGAATTCTTTTCATCTTAGCTGCAATCTCAGTCGCCGGTAAATCAATCAAGTATCTGGTAGATGGAACACTAGTTAAAACGGTATATCTTCACTTATCCTTTAAAAAATGTGATTTGCAAAACATGATTGGTTTGATTTTTTCATTTTACAATTCAGTTTAATTTTTACAATAAAAGCGCAATGGAAGAGAATAGTACAGTACATACACTGCGCATGAATTTCATGAAACAAAATAAATTAAAAACACGCTTAGTTTACAAAATAATGCCAGTTAATACACTCCATGCTGTTATTGTGAATATATTTATTGTTTTATAGTAGTAATTCCAAACACTTTGAAAACACTTCTATGGTACATAGTTTCACTCCTCGCTGTTTCTGAGACTTGTTTCACTCTAGGCCTATTTGAGTGCACTTCGGCGTAGGATGGCAACGAAATGTTAATTTCATGATTGACCTTGCAAATTATGGCAAAGTTCATCACACTAAACATGACAAAAGATACGTCAAATTAAAATTGTTTTCATTGCTATTATAAATCCTAAACAACATAATCATTACTCTATGTCCTCTTCCAGAGCGCTTGGTTATACGGTTTAGCAGTTTGTTCTACGTTGATATGCATGTTTCTATCTATATCGAAGTTCTACACTGCATATAAACTAAACAGTCAGAGCGTGCGAGCAGATGGTAAGTTCATACACACAGATATTTGAACTTTGCCAAATATATCAAGACTGATATATACAATATCGTCATGGTGGTGTTGGGGTTTGCGTTGTTGTGTTTGTTGTGGGTGGTGTTATTACTGCATGCTCTTGTTGTTAAACATTGCCTGTTGATGGTGCTCTTGTTGGTGTTGTTGGTTTTGTTTACGCTGTTTTTATTGTCGGCGTTGTTGCTGGTATCAGTGTGTTGGTATTGTTGTCGGCGTTGGAGTTGGTTTTGTTGGTGTTGACGTTGGTGTTGCTTGTACTGTTAGTGATATCAGTGTTGCTGTCGGTACTGTTATTATTGTCGCGGTGTTGGTGTCGTTTGGTGTTGGTGCATGGTGTTGTTGATTTTGTTAGTGTTGTTTTATTTGTCGGCGGTATCGGTGTTGTTCTTGGTTGTGTTGTTGGTATCAATGTTGTTGTTGTGGTTGTTGTCGGAAAAATTGAAAGTTTGATGAATGATTTGGCCAAGATCGATAATAACAGAAATGAATATAACAACTAATAGTTTCGGGTTTTCGGCCTATACATCTATCCAAACAAGATATCGTCTTTCGGCCTATACAAACATTTTATTCTATTTTAAGACCATCGGCCAGTGGCGTATCTAGGGGTGCGCGGGGCCAGTGGCGTATCTAGTATCTAGGGGGTGCGCCCCTCAACTGACCATCGAGGGCCCCCCCCCCCGTTTCACTTGCGCTCCCCTTCCCATCATCACCCCAATTTTAAGACTTCTAAATAGGGCCTACGCCACTGCCATCGGCATCTGCTAGGTCTACATGAAGGTTTGCACAAATATATAACGCAACAACTCTTGTTTCTCTTAGGGTACAGTTCGTTGGCATGTGGCATAACATCTTTTACAATCATCATTAGTTCTCTTGTTTATTCATCGAATAAGAACGTGTATTACCTCGATGACATAATTGGAATCATCCTATCTGTGTTACTACTATGTTATGGTATCAAGTAAGTTTCATAGTTTTATTTCAAAATGTCATAGTTTTAGGTTTGCAGTCGAATGAAAACAATTAGGCCTACCTGCATAGGCCTACAACCAGTCTTGATGCTGGGGGTGGGGGAGCGAGAAGGTGAAGTGAGAGGGGGATCGATGATCAGTTGAGGGGCGCTAATTCGCAAAATGAGGTGATTTTAGGTGATAGTTTAACTGCTTGACCGATTAAAAAAATGTTTGGGGGTGGAGGAGGGGTGAGGGGATATTAGGATATACCGTACGAGTTTTGTCAGTATGGGTCTGAAGAGCGTTGGAATAGTACACCGAAGCTCACTGGTTCGATTCCCACAGCAGCTCATAATGTACCCTTCCAGAGTGGTGTCATATCGATCAAACTAAACTAACCAACGCTTAATCTCAATTTGACTAAAAGGACGTAAAGCAATATTTTATTGATTAAATTAAACTAACTAATCGCAATGTGTAATTTAATAGTAAGGAATACGCGCATGTCTCACAAACACGGATTTTTTTTTCTCGTTCGTTACTGTTTCGATTCTTAGCATACTATGTCCAACACGCTAGTTTATTTACGATTACGCATTTTGTTACTATATTAATGTTTTCTAAATGCGTGGTATTTTAACAAATTTGAAATACCTGTAGCTCACAATGAGATTTTTAACTGTGTCGATAAAGTACAGTATCCTAAAGTTATTAATTTGGCTTTGTTGATGAGCTGTCTGGCTAAAACAAAGGGATAATTTAAGGGACCCGGCGGACATTCTGCATTATTCCTATTTTGTCTCAAATCATCGTATTTAGATAGCAGAACGAGTAGAAACAAGTAAAAATCCCTTACAAAAAAGCCATTTTTAAAAACGTCAAAAAAGTGCTGATATTGGGCTCCCCAACCACTGGGCTCTACCAGGGTATAGTATTGCCAGAAGACGCCTTGTCAGGCCGTAGGCCTCTTTGTTACGCCACTGCCCATAATGTACCTGTCATTAGTTACTTTGGTAGCTCATAATTCTGTTTTTGAATGGGAAAGTGACCAGACACGGTACGATGATATTCTTGCGTTACTTGTTGTTTTTGTATTATTTTCTTTACCTGAAGTTAATAATTGAAATCCTATTTTCAGATTGTGTGTAGAGGTGTGTAGTTCATCGGCTGCAAACAATCGGGAAACGAAACTTACCGTAATGAAGCTGCCAGGATACGAATCTATGAAATAATCAGATTAAAATGGCAAATCATAATACGAGCCTATCTTTTCCTGTGGAAAATTATTTCGTTGCAAGAGGGCAGTGTTCATAACAACATCTTTATCAATCAATACATCCAGTTTTGATTTAACCTACACTTATTATGACAGTGTAGTCGTTCGCAAAAGCAACAAAATTACGGCAAAAAAAGTACCAGACCAGACTAATGCTGATTGTATACATTCGCCCTTCGAGACCACTTTTGGGACCTGGAAATGTGAGGTTGTCTCAGGGTTGAGCTGTCGTGACAAAATGAGTATTGTGGTACAGAAAATGAAAAATGAGTTATTAATATATATTATTTTCAGATAGAATCCCCGGTAATTATATAAGCGTATTTTAGGTCTTTGAATCAGGCTGCTGTCGGAGTAAGATATCATTTTTAAGTACAGATGTCTAAAAATATAATTTTTAGAAAAAAGGATAAACTGATAAATTTTGTGTTGGTTTTCCTATCAATTCTGAAAAATAGCTTTACAAAATGTGCCTCAAAAACTTTTACCTCAGGTAACTTAATTCGGAACATTTCTACCATGAAATATACAGGTTAAACTTATCAGAAACATTAAAACCAAATTTTTGTCAAAATATCATATCTGATACCTGATCTTGAATATACCAAATTGACCTGGCGCACAAGAAGACTCATTTTGTCAATATCACAAGCTAGAGGGTCAGTTTTGTGTAAAAAATTATCGTTTGTAAGGGGTCTCGTAATTAGAGGAGCCTCAGATTGGAGTTGAAAGTAGCTTACTGTGCATCGATATGAAATTAAAAAAACAGCAACGTAGACCATAGGAAATGAAGTAGGCCTATCTATTAAAATGGCCATTCTGATACTTATATGATAAACAGAATGTTGTCTTTGTTATTCTATGGCTGCGTTGGGCATATAAACCTGGCAGTTGTGAGAAGAGAGGATGGTTACTGTATCCGTAAACGTTTCTAAATTGCTGATAAAAATAATATTCCACCAATATTTTATACATATTATAATAACAATAATATATTTCTTAATGTTTGCCATACATAGACATGTTTAGCCGATCGTTCTTTGTCTTTTCTGTATAGTATTATGACAACCCTGGGCCAAAAATGCTTTGAAATTAAATATATATATATTCTTCTATTTATATTAATTAAAATATTTTAGTTTCATAACATATTTATCTGAATTTTGTAATAAATTTTCTAAATAGTACTGAGTAGAATTGTCAGAGGCCTACCCATGAGCATGTTTTGCCCTAGACCAGGTAAATGATTGCTTCGATAGGCCTATATAATACTGTTATGCATTATCTCTGTTATTAATATTAGTCTTCCATTTATAATAGCAGTAATTCTATACAAATATTATATGCAACGTTGGTAAGTGGAATACCTGAATACATAGCTTAAACCATAAGCCTATTGACGAACATGATAGAGATGGCCATTTACGTATAGCCTATAAGAGATAGGTCTATAATTATATAATCAATGTTTGTTAACCAAATACGATCTTTACATCATTGTTCTTTCATTATATATATATATATATATATATATATGT